AGTACCTGGTTTTCTGCACGTACCAGAGATTTTGTTTTGCACATACCAGAGATTTTGTAAGTTCTGAGGCAAGGTCACAAGACGTGTTTAAGTAAGATAAACTCTTGCTGCCATAAACCTGCTCTCCCGCCTCAAAGCTTGAACCAAAATATCAGAAATGGCGGGAACCAATCATAGTTAGCCAAATCGCTTGTTCAAACACTAGCCAATCATATATCTGATTTGTATAATAACTCTATGCCCACTTTTCTTAGACTATATAACATTGTTCCGAGCTCAGTGGGGGAGCTCTCCTGCCCGTCTCGTTTCTCGAGCGAGGGAGAGTTCCAGGTTCGAACCTGTAATAAAGATCCTTGCTGCTTAGCTTTGACTCTGGACTCTGGTGGTCTTCTTCGGGGAATAAACAGTCTGGGCATAACACAGAGAGTGTAAGGGATAACGTCTAAAGATTTAGTATTTTTTATTCTAAACAAAATGGTACCTAATATTTAAAATAAAGATCCAAAAAGAATCACACAACCAAATGCCAAACAGAAATGCTGAGTTTGTTCTTTCACAGAAATGTATTACTTTATTTTCTAAAAAAGGACATTTATCTCCCTCCAACAGAAATAAATACTTATTTTTCAATGAAAAGGTTATAGAACAAGCATAGAACATGTCAACAATACAACATAAACAGGAACAACTATGATCAACTCAAAAAGTGTTGTGTTCAGATACATGAAGCAAGACAAAAACCTCAAGCATCTAAATCATTACAAAGACTTACCCAAAGCTTTTAGAGTCCTGCTTTTTAAAGTACGTTCAGTAGCTAGAAACTGTCTCATTAACTGACCATGGGTTCAGAAGTATCACAATTTACTTTCCCCTGGAATGCACATATCACATCATCCATTTGTTGCCAGCTTCCTAGAAGAGAGTACCCACTCTGTATTTCAGCCTGTGAACATGACAAATGGGAGAAAAAAGAGAAAGCAGCGTTTGGGAACAGTGCACTGGGCTAATCAGATGGTTCATGGAGTAAACAGGTTATGGGCCCAGGGACCTGAAACATCTGAGTACTGAATGGATTAACACACAGGGCAACTCAGGAAGCTGGGTCATAGTGCTTAGGAAGAGAATGCCAAAAGACTGAGGGGAGAGCCCAATATGCATGCCACCTCTGTAAAGATCCAGAGAGAGAGGGCAGCTGAAATGTTAACACTGGCCAGGTCTTTGGAGCTTCCGCTTCTCCCTGAGCCAGAATTGAACAGCAAGGGCAAAATCACAGCCTAGATCCCACCCCAACTGTCAGGCCTCTGAGCCCAAGCTAAGCCATCATATCCCCTGTGACCTGCGTGTATACATCCAGATGGCCTGAAGCAACTGAAGATCCATAGAAGTGAAAATAGCCTTAACTGATGACATTCCATCATTGTGATTTGTTTCTGCCACACCCTAACTGATCAATGTACTTTGTAATCTCCCCCACCCTTAAGAAGATTCTTTATAATTCTCCCCAAAACATTGCTCTCAACTCCACCGCCTATCCCAAAACCTGTAAGAACTAATGATAATCCACCACTCTTGGATGACTCCTTTGTCAGACTTAGCCCGCCTGCACCCAGGTGAAATAAACAGCCATATTGCTCACACAAAGCCTGTTTGGTGGTCTCTTCACACGGACGCGTGAGACATTTGGTGCCAAAGACCCAGGTCAGCGGGACTCCTTCAGGGGACCAGTCCGCTGTCCTCATCCTCGCTCCATAAAGAGATCTACCTACCACCTTGGGTCCTCAGACCAACCAGCCCAAGGAACATCTCACCAATTTTAAATCAGGTAAGTGGCCTCTTTTTACTGTCTTCTCCAATCTCTCTCAATATCCCTCAACCTCTCTCCTTTCAATCTTGGTGCCACCCTTCAATCTCTCCCTTCTCTTAATTTCAATTCCTTTCATTTTCTGGTAGAGACAAAGGAAACACATTTTATCCGTGGACCCAAAACTCCAGCGCCGGTCATGGATTCAGGAAGGCAGTCGTCCCTTGGTGTTTAATCATTGCGGGGACGTCTCTCTGATTATTCACCCACGTTCCATTAGTGTCTGATCTCCGCAGGGACGCCTGCCTTGGTCATTCACCCACGTTCCCTTGGTGGCAAGTCAATTGCAGGGACGCCTGCTTTGGCTGCTCACCCATGTTGCAGCCCAGGGCTGCTCCCCACCCCCTTCTCCGTGTCTCTACCCTTCTCTTTAAACTTGCCTCCTTCACTAAGGGCAACCTTCCACCCTCCATTCCTCCTTCTCCCTCAGCCTGTGTTCTCAAGAACTTAAAACCTCTTCAACTCTCGCCTAACCTAAAATCTAAGTGTCTTATTTTCTTCTGCAAATACCGCTTGGCCGCAATACAAACTTGACAGTAGTTCCAAGTGGCCAGAGAATTGCACTTTCGATTTGTCTATCCTACAAGATCTAGATAATTTTTATCGAAAAATGGGCAAATGGTCTGAAGTGCCTGACGTCCAGGCATTCTTTTACACATTGGTCCCTCCCTAGTCTCTGCTCCCAATGAGACTCATCCAAATCTTTCTTCTTTCTCTCCTGTCTGTTCCTTCAGTCTCCACCCCAAACTCTGAGTCCTTTGAATCCTTTTCTATGGACTCATCTGACCTCTCCCCGCCTCCCCAGGGTGCTCCTCACCAGGCCAAGCCAGGTCCCAATTCTTCCTCAGCCTCTGCTCCCTGACCCTATAATCCTTCTATCACCTTCCCTCCTCACACCCAGTCTGGCTTACAGTTTCGTTCTGCGACTAGCCCTCCCCAACCTGTCCAACAATTTCCTCTTAAAGAGGTGACTGGAGCTAAAGGCATAGTCAAGGTTAATGCTCCTTTTTCTTTATCCGACCTTTCCCAAATCAGCCAGTGTTTAGGCTCTTTCTCATCCGACCCCACTAAATATATACAGGAATTCCAATATCTAACTCTGTCCTACGATTTAACCTGGAATGACCTAAATGTCATCCTAACTTCTACCCTCTCCCCAGATAAACAGGAAAGAGTTTTTTCTTTAGCCCAATTTCACGCTGATAACCACCAGCTTCACGAGCCAGACCTCCAGGAAAGCATTAGAGCAGTTCCCTGAGAAGATCCCCAGTGGAACTACAGGCAGATTCCCCAGGTATAGCTAGGCGAGATTACATGGTTTCCTGCCTAGTTGAAGGGCTTAACAAGGCATCTTACAAAGCTGTTAATTATGACAAACTTAAAGAAACTACCCAAGGTAAAGACGAAAACCCAGCCCAGTTCATGGTTCGCTTAGCAGCAACCCTTAGATGCTTTACCACCCTAGACCCAGGGGGACCAGAAGGCCGCCCTATTCTTAATATGCATTTTATCAACCAGTGAGCTCCTGACATTAGAAAAAGCTCCAAAAATTGGAATCTGGCCCTCAAACCCCACAACAGCAATTAATCAACCTCGCCTTCAAGGTGTACAATAGTAGAGAGGAGGCAGCCAGACAGTAACGCATTTCTGAGTTACAGCTACTTGCCTCTGCAGTAAGACAACCCACAACCATGTCTCCAGCATACAAGAACTTCAGAACATCCAAGCCAAGGCTCCCAGGGGCTCCTTCAAAACATCCTCATGGATCTTGCTTCAAATTCCAAAAGCCTGGCCACTGGGCCTCAGAATGCCAGCAGCCCAGGATTCCTTCTAAGCTGTGCCCTGTCTATGTGGGCCCCCACTGGAGGTTGGACTGTCTGACTCACATCAGCGCTGCTCCTAAAGCCCCTGGAGCCCAAACCCAACGTTCCTTGGCCGATTCTTTCCCAGATCTCCTTGGCTTAGCAGCTGAAGACTGACGCTACCCGATCACCCCAGAAAACCCCCTGGACCATCAGGTAACTCTTACGGCAGAGGATAATTCAGTCCTGTTCTTAATCAATATGGAGGCTACCCACTCCACATTACCTTCTTTTCAAGGGCGTGTTTCCCTTGCCTCCATAACTGTTATGGGTATTGAAGGCCAGGCTTCTAAACCTCTTAAAACTTCCCAACTCTGGTGCCAACTTACACAATACTTTTAAGCACTCCTTTTTAGTTATCCCCACCTGCCCAGCTTCCTTATTAGGTCGAGACATTTTAACTAAATTATCTGCTTCGCTGACTATTCCTGGGCTACAGCCACACCTCATTGCCGCCTTTTCCCCCAGTTCAAAGCCTCCTTCGCATCCTCTCCTTGTATCTCCCCACCTTAATCCACAAGTATAGGATACCTCTACTCCCTCCTTGGCAACAAATGATGCACCACTTACCATCTCATTAAAACCTAATCACCCTTACCCCACTCAACGCCAGTATCCCGTCCCGCAGCACCCTTTAAAACGATTAAAGTCTGTTACCACTCACCTGTTACAGCATGGCCTTTTAAAACCTATAAACTCTCTTACGATTCCCCCATTTTACCTGTCCAAAAACCGGACAAGTCTTACAGGTTAGTTCAGGATCTGTGCCTTATCAACAAAATTGTTTGGCCTATCCACCCCGTGGTGCCAAACCCATATACTCTCCTATCCTCAATACCTCCTTCCACAACCCATTATTCTGTTCTGGATTTCAAACATGCTTTCTTTACTATTCCTTTGCACCCTTCATCCCAGCCTCTTTTCGCTTTCACTCGGACTGACCCTGACACCCATCAGGCTCAGCAAATTACCTGGGCTGTACTGCCGCAAGGCTTCACAGAAAGCCCCCATTACTTCATTCAGTCAAGCCCAAATTTCTTCCTCATCTGTTACCTATCTCGGCATAATTCTCATGAAAACACATGGGCTCTCCCTGCTGATCGTGTCTGGCTAATCTCCCAAACCCCAATCCCTTCTACAAACAACAACTCCTTTCCTTCCTAGGCATGGTTAGGTACTTCCGCCTTTGGATACCTAGTTTTACCAACCTGACTAAACCATTACATAAACTCACAAAAGCAAACCTAGCTGACCCCACAGACCCTAAATCCTTTCACCACTCCTTTCCGTTCCTTAAAAACAGCCCTAGAAGCTGCCCCAACACTAGCTCTCCCTAACTCATCCCAACCCTTTTTCATTACACACAGCCAAAGTGCAGGGCTGTGTGGTCGGAATTCTTACACAAGAGCTGGGACTGCGCCCTGTAGCATTTTTATCCAAACACCTTGACCTTACTGTTTTAGCCTAGCCATCATGCCTCCGTGCAGCCACCCTAATACTTTTACAGGCCCTCAAAATCACAAATTATGCTCAACTCACCCTCTACGGTTCTCATAACTTCCAAAATCTCTTTTCTTCCTCACACCTGACACATATACTTTCTGCCCTCCCCAGCTCTTTCAGGTACACTCACTCTTTGTTGAGTCTCCCACAATTACTATTGTTCCTGGCCCAGACTTCAATCCGGCCTCCCACATTATTCCTGATACCACACCTGACCCCCATGACTGCATCTCCCTGATACACCTGACATTCACCCCATTTCCCCATATTTCCTTCTTTCCTGTTCCTCACCCTGATCATACTTGGTTAATTGATGGCAGTTGCACCAGGCCTAATCGCCACACATCAGCAAAGGCAGGCTACATTGAGGCTACTGCTCTGGCCCCATCCACTACCTCTCAGCAAGCCAAACTCATTGCCTTAATTCGGGCCCTTACTCTTGTAAAGGGACTACGCATCAATATTTATACTGACCCCATATCCTGCACCACCATGCTGTTTCATGAGCTGAAAGGTTTCCTCACTACACAAGGGTCCTCCATCATTAATGCCTCTTTAATAAAAATTCTTCTCAAGGCTGCTTTACTTCCAAAAGAAGCTGGAGTCATTCACTGCAAGGGCCATCAAAAGGCATCAGATCCCATCGCTCAGGGCAATGCTTATGCTGATAAGGTAGCTAAATTGCAGCTTGTGTTCCAACTTCTGTCCTTCATAGCA